AACTGGCGTTAAAACAAACCTATGAAAACTTTAATAAATACTTTTTATCTAAAATTTCGAAATTCGCCTCTGAATGTTATTGTCGCAGTACTTAAAGCAAATAATCAATGTTGCTATCAGAATTATCTTCTTCATTCTCATATGCAACGTAACTCCAGAGTAACTTCGAAGAAGTCTCTGCAAAACTTGCTTGAAATTGGAGGTGCCATCGGACCCGAATGATCACATCAAGCATATGGCGCTCTTCATAAAGAACACTGCGACACCTAGGGCTATACAATTCAAGTGGGCAACTTAATAAATTAATTAAGTACGAGTATTTAATTTATATTCAAAAGAAATTCAAAAGAGATAGAACCTCCACTAGTAAGATGGAACATATACAAAGACAAACAATATGGTACAAACTTGCAATGAACTGTCTTCATAAAGCTTAAACGAGGATAAACCTTATAATCAATATATTTCATCCGAACAATTTAAATTATTAAATGTAACTGTTATCTTTTAAATAAACTCTCTTACGTCAAATCGGCTGAATCGGGGAACATAGATTATGTGTTTAGTGCAAGTACAAACAAAGGTACAAGATTAGAATCAAATATAGAATTTAAGCTAACAAAAACAAAATATCCAAAGCAAGTCTACGTTATATTGGGCCGATATTGAAAAAAAATGTAAACTTTTCAAAAATTCGGCCAAATTCGGCCAAATATAGTTTGGCCGAATTTCAAATGCTACGGCCAGGCAAATTTGTATACGGCCAGATTTGAGGAATCTGGCCGTCAAAAAGGCCAAATGGCAACCCTGATCTGATTGGCCGATGGAGCACTTAGAAAACCTACACATTTCTTAGAATTCCGATCAATTAAAATAATTACGTCACTGTACATAGAGGACGCGCTATATTTAAAATACTGTACATGTACTGCACTTTCATCACAGAGATGAAACATGAGGAATTTGTTTAGAACTAATTCCTCCATTCCTTCTGCTTTCTGTCTTTTATCATCTTTTAATAATATATCTTAATACTTTTTACTGTCTTCTAATGTTTTCCAGTGGCGGATCCGGGGGGTGGGGGTTCAAGGGGTTCGGACAAACCCCCCCCCCCCCCCCCCCCCCCGTGAAGAAACGTAACAAAATACTATTGGGTCCTGGCTTACAAAAAGGCATGCTAACCTCATAGTTACCAACCGTTTTGCTGTCAAAAGTCAAAAGAACAGAAGCTTGTTATTTTTAATGTAGTTACAGGAAAACAAATGACCAAAAAAAAAGTAAGTAAATAAATAAGAATGTCTGTTCCGTGCTTTTTGATTTTAATTTATTAATTTTAAAGTATTTTTTTCCTATTTAATGTTTCTTTTTTATCTCTGTTTCTCTTTCGGTTTGGAGAGCCACTTGACAGTATTTTAGTATACTCTTGGTCATCCTGTCTTCCCGAGTTTTGTGTGTTCAAATTAGACAAAATAAATAAATGAAATTTAATCTTGAATCCGCCCCTGTTTTTATAGTCTATCTTACTGGTCTAACATCACTTAGCCTAATACTGTTTGTATTTTTAGTGCTAATATTTCTGACAGACTTGAGTCTTGAGCAGATCCGACTCCGGGAGATTTTACATACGAGTTTGCTTTTATAGCAGAGGAAAGGCAATTTCCCGAATAAGGGGAATTTCCTCGACGTAAACGCAGTGGGGGTGGTAAGGCGTCGCTCGAAATTAGAGGGTGAATCCAATAGAAAATGTTATTTAATCGTTTTTAGTGTCTACTAATATGTTAAAAAAATAAATATATCTTCTCCCCTACGAATTGTGTTTTTCTCCTTGAAAGGGGGCCCTGCCATCTCCTCTCCCGCTGCCCCCCCCCCACCCCTAGGGGTCGGTCAATGTAGCACACGAAGCTACAAATACAGTAGACTAGCGGCATACATCAGACCAAAATGATACAGTTGCAGTAACCGTGCCACCCATAGAGGTGACCAGGGCGAATGCAGGTGCAAATAGTGCAATTGCAACCCCCTAAATTGTATTCAGAAAAATAATTGTTGTATTGTATAGTTGATATAAATTACCGGTAAGATTTTAAAGTATGGGAGTATTCCTGGGCACCTAGAGGTCCATTAGACTTGCCACAAGTCTCTAATAGGTTTTCCTAGAATAGCTAATTTTGGAGAGCGCCACCAGCGACGGTATATATCGAGAAACTTTTATGCGAATTAGAAAAAGAAATCCAAGAAAAAGTATACTATGAAACGCCAAGCAAATAGGTAATATGGAACGCCATTGGTGCCAAAATCGATTTAAAAATAAAGATTAGGGACTGGAGCCCAGTCTGGAGGTTCATAGGCCTATAGACCTTTCCGCTAAGCGGAAAGTTTTTAAAAAAAGAAAAAGAAAGACTAGAAAAAGAAATAATTGGTCTCCCAAAACGCATGAGAGGTTATTTTCGGGCGTCTAGAAAACAAATAATTCGCAGGGACATGCCCCCGGACCATAAAGGTAGTGTTGTCTCGATCGCCCCCACCCCTTCAGACATCTTTGGATCCGCCTGATACTATATTACCCGGTTTCTGTTGGTGAATCTGTAAATCGTCTTGTTAATGACATATGTATAAATTGTGAACATTAAAATAATAATCTGCCAAAGTGAAAACGTGTTGACAGTGTCGTAACTATAGCAGATTCAGCAGGTTTATGAACCTGGGCCCCCAACCTCCAGGGGCCCCGATCTATAAGGGCCCCGCCCCTTATTAAAAGATCTATTAAAGCAATGCATAAATCGAAAATCATTTCAATTTTGCTATATTAACGAGGAGGGGATGGAGGCATGTCATAGCATCAAAGCATATAGTTATCAACATTTTGTTTATGTAATTCTTGCTGCACGTTTTTTCAGTCTTTTTACAATATATTATTTTTCTCAGATGTGTTTCCCCAAACCGAAATTGCATAATCGATAAATGGTTCGATTGTGCTTATGTAATAAGCAGATTGGTGCAATGTTTTGGCCAATTTCCCACGTTATTAATCTTGAAGCTTACAGACGTATATGTCGTATATGATAACCCCATGTTAAGTTTGCGTACAGGGATTCTGCGTACACTATCTCTAAACCCAAATATCTTATATGTTTTACTTGTTCGATACGTTTTCAGTCGTCGACATGAAATACTCAGTACATCAGATAAAAGTATATTCTGGTTTCTAATAGCATGTTTTTTAGCCTCTCCGAAGGAGCGAATCTTCGGGGAGGCTATTGTTTTTACCCATGTTCTTCTTCATTCTGTCGGCTGTCGGACACCCCAAGAGACTAAGGGACAGTCTCCACCATGGGCATAATACCATCATAATACTCCTCATAAACAAATTCAAAATGCTTATACATTTCCAGAATTCAAAATATTTAAATATTTTGTTGGTCAAAATTGCACCGCGGGGAGGCTATGCTTTTACTGCGAGCGTAAAAGGGGTATATAGTTTTTAACTGCATATATTTTTTAATTATTTCCGACATAGGCATATCATTTATACCTATATTTTGGGGGGATTTAATATGACGGGGGCATTTCGCATACGTAAGATAACAAATTGTTACAACCAATGTCATTCCAGGTCAGATAATTGCCATTCTTTTTCCACTGATGAACGCAATTTTCATTTCCTCCATTGTTATTGGGTTCACCGGATCCCCATTTTCTGTACCGGGATGTTGAGTAGTTAGACCAGCGCCAACTGCTGCCAGACCTCATCAAGCCAATCCAGTATGTGTATGAATTGGCAACGAACACATTGTGAGAAGTTTTCCAAAGCGTAGAAACAAAATTGTTTTCATAATCACTTTCGATGGAGACGAGATCACTATTTCTGCCTAGGTAGGAGCAAGCCACATGTGCCTCGTTCCAAGTCTTTAATGATTCAAAGACTCGATAGCAACTATGTCCGTAGTTAGTCCAATATGGTGGACATTTTTTACATGAAGTGGCGTCAGAAGGGCTTGTAGCCACCGCAATGAAGATACCCAGTAGCAATACCTATCAATAGAAATATAGAACAAAATCTGAAAACTTCTTATTAATACTCATTATAATATATATTATACCCAGGGGCGGATTTAGAGGGTGACCGTTCCGACCGTGACGCCCGGCCCCCTCTCCCCTTTTGGAAAGTTTTTGAAAAAAGAAAAAGAAAGACTAGAAAAAGAAATAATTGGTCTCCCAAAACGCATGAGAGGTTATTTTCGGGCGTCTAGAAAACAAATAATTCGCGGGGACATGCCCCGGACCATAAATGTAGTGTTGTCTCGATCGCCCCCACCCCACCCCTTCAGACATCTTTGGATCCGCCTGATACTATATTACCCGGTTTCTGTTGGTGAATCTGTAAATCGTTTTGTTAATGACATATGTATAAATTGTGAACATTAAAAGAATAATCTGCCAATGTGAAAACGTGTTGACAGTGTCGTAACTATAGCAGATTTAGCAGGTTTATGAACCTGGGCCCCCAACCTCCAGGGGCCCCGATCTATAAGGGCCCCGCCCCTTATTAAAAGATCTATTAAAGCAATGCATAAATCGAAAATCATTTCAATTTTGCTATATTAACGAGGAGGGGATGGAGGCATGTCATAGCATCAAAGCATATAGTTATCAACATTTTGTTTATGTAATTCTTGCTGCACGTTTTTTCAGTCTTTTTACAATATATTATTTTTCTCAGATGTGTTTCCCCAAACCGAAATTGCATAATCGATAAATGGTTCGATTGTGCTTATGTAATAAGCAGATTGGTGCAATGTTTTGGCCAATTTCCCACGTTATTAATCTTGAAGCTTACAGACGTATATGTCGTATATGATAACCCCATGTTAAGTTTGCGTACAGGGATTCTGCGTACACTATCTCTAAACCCAAATATCTTATATGTTTTACTTGTTCGATACGTTTTCAGTCGTCGACATGAAATACTCAGTACATCAGATAAAAGTATATTCTGGTTTCTAATAGCATGTTTTTTAGCCTCTCCGAAGGAGCGAATCTTCGGGGAGGCTATTGTTTTTACCCATGTTCTTCTTCATTCTGTCGGCTGTCGGACACCCCAAGAGACTAAGGGACAGTCTCCACCATGGGCATAATACCATCATAATACTTCTCATCAACAAATTCAAAATGCTTATACATTTTCAGAATTCAAAATATTTAAATATTTTGTTGGTTAAAATTGCACCGCGGAGAGGCTATGCTTTTACTGCGAGCGTAAAAGGGGTATATAGTTTTTAACTGCATATATTTTTTAATTATTTCCGACATAGGCATATCATTTATACCTATATTTTCTAAAATATTTGTAATTTTGTATTTAATCCATCAACTTGTGTTCCTGAAACATAAATAGCAACATCATCCTCAAATATACTGTAAGTCCTAAGAAAAATCAATTTTTAAATATAATTTTTTATGAACAACAGAAGTATAATTGGACGCAAGACTCGTTATTTATTTATTTATTTATTTATTTTTTTTGATGACATTTCGCTTTGCTTCATTCCAGTCAAGGGGCCGAGAACGGAGGGTCCACGTGTCGGCCATTGACCACTATCACGAAAATCGTATCGTTGAGTAATAAACCAATATGCTAAACAAGCCTATGTACTCGTGTATAGCATCCCTGGGGAAGGAGGATGCAGTGAGGGAGCAGACGGTGCGATCGCACCCCGTAAATTGCATTAAGAAAAATAATTGCTGTATTATATTGTATTGTTGATATGAATTACCGTACCGTTAAGATTTTTAAGGTATAAGAGTACAATTTCCGGGCACCTGATATTCTCAAATTTAATGTTCCCACATCAGTCCCAACCATGGTGGGGCTGAAGTGGTGTGGACTCTAATGCACCCCTATCACCAAATCCTGCATCCGCCCCAGCATCCAGAGGAAGATCTATTAAACGAAGTCACTAACAATTGAGTGATACTTCCTAAAAGCATAGGCCTATTGGTACATTTAAGGTAATTTCCATTGAGATATGTAATAATCTGATCTTTGACTTCCTTTTCAACAATTTTGGCTATGTATCATACTATGAGATAGGTCTATAATTGTTATGGCTTTTTTTTCCATCCTTAGAACGGGTATTGGATGCCTAGTGCATGTGTTACTTCGTATAAATAATAATAATAATAATAATAATAATAATAATAATAATAAAAATAATAATAATAAATAATAATAATAATTTTGACAATTAACCATGGAGATTTCTTGTTTTGTGTATTTTGATATAGGATTGTAATCTATATGGACAGCCTGCAACCCGATTCCTAAGTTAGTACATCCATTAATAGTATTCTATCTTGTGCATCTAATAAAAAGCTCAATTTCTTAAAAAGAATATTTTTTTGGTCATTAACATTGCACTCGAATAAAGGGAACGAAATAATATTTCGTTCGAACGAAATATTATTTCGATGGAACGAAATTATTGGTTCCCTCGAAATGAGCCACTAGAGGGACATGGTTAGAAAAAAAAATATTTCGAGGGAACGAAATAATATTTCGAAATGATTTCGTTCCTTAGAAATAATATCTAGTTCGAACGAAATATTCGTTCTCTCGAAATTATTTCGTTCCCTCGAAATATTTTAATATATTTTTTCTAACCATGTCCTTTTAGAGGCTCCGTAATATTATCTTCAAATGTTATCATTAATAATATAAAATTGTACAACTTACAATTCCCATGACTGCCTTCCACTTCAATTTCGTAAAGTGTGGCTTACTATATTATACCACGCCTTAAATAAACTTTCTATAGCCAGGCTTTTGACCAATCCCAATCTCGATACTGTAAATGACTTGAACTTCCCGAAACTCAAAAACCGTACGTTAGGAAAGACCCTGGATAGATGACTAAACACAAATGTTGTAGATTGAATGTGGATGGTTGAAAAGGTATTTGATAACAGGGGATTCAGGCGCGAATGAATCCATTATGACCATTACATTAACAAAACAAAAAAAAAGAATTACTGTTGTTAACTTGGTACATTAACTGAGGTTGTGCATTTCACATAGGCCTAACTGTTCATCTTCAACCATTACTAGAAAGTAGTGGAACCAATTTCACAGGAGAGAGGGTACTTGCAGCAGGAAATGAAGATCCGGGCCCTCTTATGATATGAAACTGGATTTCTGCAAAGTGGTAGGCAATTTAGCATTCGGAAAACTTGTTTTCAAGAAAGTTGAGTCGGTAATTTGGTATTCATCCAACTGTCATTTGTGGCACTGCCACCTGCATCACATTGGTTCAGGGGTCCTGACCCAACCCCCCACCCCCTTTTGAAAAAAAAATATCTGTGTACCGGTAACCACCTAGGCCTAGGCCTATTTACTGTAATAAGAATGAGAACAAATTACCTGACCGTTTACAAGAGGGGAAAACCTTGAATCAATTTTTATCTTACCTATATAATTTTGAAATTCTCAATCCATTTCAATCCGCTTACAGAGTAGGTCATAGTACCGAAACGGCACTCACTAAGATTCATAATGACATTGTCTGTGCTTTTGATCGCAAGCGTGCTGTTGCCCTTGTAATGTTAGATCTTTCGTCAGCATTTGACACAGTTGATCACCAAATTCTTTTACAACGTCTTTCTGTTTATTACAAAGTTTCCGACACAGCTCTTAGTTAGTTTAAGTCCTATTTAGATGAACGGACCCAGTTTATAGAAATAAATAACATTAAGTCTGCCCCAAAATATCTTGAATGCGGTGTTCCACAGGGATCCATTCTGGGTCCCCTTCTCTTTTCTCTGTATATATCTCCCCTTACTGATTTAATAAAAAACCTTAATTTACAATATCATTTATATGCTGATGATTTACAAAATTTATATTGATTTTAGTCCCTCGGAATCTCATGAGATTATTGCCCGATTTGAAGATTGTCTTTGTAAAATATCATCTTGGCTTTCTCATAACATGCTACGACTTAATCATACTAAAACTGAATTCATAATTTTCTGTACTAAACACCTTCGACCCAAAATTAATATTTCTTCACTTTCCTTTAATTCATGCACTATATTTCCTTCACATTCTGTTAAAAACCTTGGTGTTTTCTTTGATGAATCTCTTTGTTTTAATAACCATATAAGTCACATTACTAAAACTACTAACTTTCATCTACGCAATATTGCTAATATCAGAAAATATATTTCAAAACACACAGCTGCCGTATTAATAAATGCATTGGTCACACCCCATCTGGATTATTGCAACTCCCTTTTCTACTCGTTACCAAAAACTGCGATAAATCGCCTTCAACGTCTTCAAAATTCAGCTGCACGTATTCTGACTCTTACTTCTAGACGCTCACATATATCACCGGTAATTTATCATTTACATTGGCTCCGTATTGAATCTCGTATCAAATACAAAATCCTGCTATTAACGTTCAAAGCACTATCTTACAAACAACCCACTTACCTTGTTGAACTCATTCATGCGTATGCCCCACCTACTTGTCTCCGTTCTTCTGATAAAAATCTATTAGTTGTTCCTAGGATTAACACCAAAACCTTTGGTTCTAGATCATTTTCATTTTCCGCAGTATCCCTTTGGTACTCATTGCCCAAACATATTATCCAATCACCGTCAGTTGCTATTTTTAAGACAAAACTTAAAAGACACATTTTTTTACCATCTAAATGTTAAGCGCCTTTGATTTTTACTTCGGTATAGTTGAAATTGGCGCTATATAAATTATTATTATTATTATTATTATTATTATTATTATTATTATTATTATTATTATTATTATTATTTTGATTAAATGACACTTCAGAAGTCGGCAAAACTCATTTCTCGGCATCTAAGAACCAATATTTTCCCGGGGAGGACCCCGACCCCCGTTTTATTTGGGGTTCATCGATTTATTGAAAAAAAGAATATGTATGCAGCGACTCATTTTTTGTTATGTACTGTACATACACACATAGTTGGGCTACTAGGCCTAGTAGTATTTACAGTAATAAAAAAGCCGGTGAAGGACGAAACAATAATTTTATTAATCTGCTTAGGCTATCTGTTCTTTTGCGCTAATGCAGTGCCCTCTTCTGCGATAAATCTGTTGATAGCATAACATGTCTAAATGGTATCTAATCATTTTCTTTAAATGTACATTATTAACATACGTTATCCAGGGGCACATCCAGCATTTGATTTAAAAGAGTTGGGGTTCAAAATGTTTCCAAAAAACGCCAAAATGAAAGGGGGTCCGGGGGTCCTTTCCTAGATGGCCGGAAATGAGCTTTCCCGACTCTGAGGAGTCTTTTAATGAAAGGTTCAAGAAAAAAGGTCAGGTAATTTCATCTAATTTTTTAGGCCTATCATAGAGGGAAAAAAATCAAAGACAGGCAATATATTATTATATTCCAACAACATTGAGTAGTTGGATATGTAGTCTTTCTTCCATGGATCGATGAACCGATGCCTGAAGAACGCACTTTCGTACATAAATTATTACGACGGCGAACCAAAAACAGTGTGTATAATTTATTTAATTGAAAACTATTTGGGCTAAGCCGAGTTTGTTCGATCTTCCAACCTATGCCTAGGTAATTAAGTTGCCTTTTGTAAGCCAGGACCCAGTTGTATTTTGTTACGTTTCTTCACAGAGTTCATCCGAACCCCTTGAACACCCTGGATCCGCTACTGTTATCAATGCACAGGGGTGGATTCAGCCCGGTAAGAAAGAAGGGGCGTGAATGTCCTGAGTGATAGTTTCTTTCTGGAAAAAGACCCTGGCAGGGGTGCAAGGGGGAATCTCCCTTAAAACCCTCTAGCACCTTCACTGAGTTGATATTTGATTGATTTTTAATATTATTTAGTTTGGTAATTTTCTGAAGCTTTACAAAACAATTTGTAAATCCGCCAGTGATGCATCAATTCCAATTTCAACAATGCATGTTCTTTCTTTTTGACTTAAGATTATAAATGCAAGGCGTAAGGACCTGTTCGTGGTCCTTTTAAACTGTCAACTGTCAGGCGCAGATCCAGAATTTTCTCTGACTTCCGTTCAGATGGGGTGGTCCTTGCAGTAGTGGATCCAGAAATTCAACATAGAGGTGCCCAGAGAGGGAACTTCACAGATAGGCACCTCAGGCCCACCATGGTTGAAAAAGTAAGATTACGTTGCCTCAGCGGAACTCTCAGAACTCTCAGGGTGTAGGATGTCTGAGAACCTCCCTCCCCCCTTTCAAATGTTGAAAAAAATAGAGTGCCCCTTTTTGAATGTTAAAAAATAACCGAGTATTAAAGTGTCATTCCAGGCATTTTTCACACCTCAGCTTCAAATGATGGGGCTCAGTGGAAAATTTTGCTAGTTTTTATGTATTAAAGTGCCATTTTCTGGCATCTAAAATTCTTACAATAATTCTCTTACCTCAGAATCAACCATGGTGGGCTTAAGTGGAAGGATAGGTAGTTTTCATAAATTTTAAATATCCAAGTGCCGTTTTCGGACATCTATAATGTCTGAAGTTCTTAAGATTTACTCACCTGCCCCACCCCCCGCAAAAAAACAAAAAAACAAAAAAAAAACTTTGTTTTTGTTTTTGTTTGTTTGTTTTTTTCTTTGTTTTTTTGTTTTTTGTTTAGGTGATTGTCTGATAGGTTATTACTTTCGAACAACGCTAAAAACACGTGTCAACTCTAAGAAACACATGTACATGTATGACCGAACTCTGAGCGACTCCGAATTAGTGGTTAGTTTGTCCAGGGAACAGTGAAATTAATTTCACTGTTCCCTGGTTTGTCAATCATCCACTCTATCATGCGCTATAGAAATGGAAGGAAGACCATAATGTAATGAGAATCAGTGGTGGCGCCAGGACCTGCCCGACGGAGTGGCTAAAGGCCTCGACGAGAGGGCTAGTGGAGCGAATCGAGTCTCACTTGGCTGGAGGCCAGGGGACCGCCTAGGGCCCCGGTGGGGGTCGAGGGGGGCGAAGCCCCCTGGAAGCCACGGATATTTGATGAATTATGGCGAATTTTTATTACTTATTTGATAGGCATCGAGTTACTATAACATGACTTCATGTAGGCTATGCTTTCTAATGTTGAAATCAGCTTCCAAAACCAAAACATTGTGAATAAAGCAAGAAACAAAGAGTTTATGCAATGTAACCATCTAATTTATTTTCAAATCCTCATTCTTGAAAGTGAAATTCTATATTTTGGAAATTTTGCATGAAATCTGTCAATCATAAATGACCTAAGAAACTCAAATATTCTGTCAAATAGTAATAATAATTATAGTGATATTGATGTATACTGGAATGAATGGAGGGATTCCTTCTTAAATATATGTAATAAACATGCTCCTTTAAAGACAATGCGTGTTAAAAATCGTTTCACTCCTTGAATGAGCCCAGATATAATACAACTTATGTATGAAAGAGACCATAAAAAGCATCTTTCTGATAAATATGGGAGTGATATCAATTTGAACAAATATCGTAAACTACGAAACTTAGTAACAAGCAAAATTCGGAAAGCAAAATCAAATTACTTTGATAATGTTGAAAACAAATACAAAAAAACTCAAAAAAATATGGGAGGAACTAGGCAGAACTATAGGGAAGGATTCAAATAGAAATAGTGTCCACCCTGACCTAAATTGTGAAAGCTTTAATAATTTTTTCTCAAATATTGGAAAGGAAATTTCTAAATCTTTTGAAAGTACTACTACTCCTGAATGGAAACATCCTTTATGTATCCACAAATTAAATTTTAACATGGTAACATTTGAAAATATTGAAAATGCACTTT